CCGCTGTGCCCCTCATGGGGAGAGAGCTGGAGCCTGGCTGAGGCTGGAGCAAGGGGGAGCCCAGAGGGACAGTCCCCATCACCAGAGGGGCTCCCACACTGGCTAAACTGGGGGAAAGGTGGAGGCAGGGTCTTCCCTGAGCAAGAACGATCCCCCCAATATCAGGGTTTTGGAACAGGGGGACGACCCAGCCCGGTGGGAAAGGCTGGCGGTGAAGCCACAGCTGCATCTCCGGTGGGTGTGGGGACACAGCCCAGGGGACAAAGACACGGTGGCTCGGGGGCCCCCCAGTACCCCTCACGCATGCACACACTGCCACGGGGCTGGGCCAGCCCCTTCCCCACAGCCGGTGCATGGGCAGGGGCCGCGGGGTGGGGACACGCTTCTGGTCTTTTAATACCTGCAGAATAAAGTTTGTGTCAGTGCAGTCAGCGGCGGCAAAGGGGCCATCGACGCCGCCGAGGGGAAAGTTCCTCCTCGCAGGGTCCGGATCCAGCACAGTCACCTCCCTGCCTGCAGCCCCAGGTGACCTGAGGCCGTGGGGATGGGCTCGTGTGTCTTGGCTGGTGGTGACCAGAGGATGCGTCCACCTGATAGCCAGGGTGGGGGGCAGCCAGGTCCCATCATGGGGCTGTGTGGGTGCTGTCACAGGGCAGGGCTGGCCGGGGCACATCCATGGGGTCGCCCCCCAGACCCTGCTCAGAACCGGGCGGTTTCCACACTGTCCAGCCTCAGCAAGCCCAGGCACTGCCCAGGGTCAGGGCTCTCCACAGGGGCTGCCTGCAAGGAGACCTGCAAGCCAGAGAGGATGATGAGGATGAGCACGAGAGCTTCGGGTCAGCAAGTCTCACATCTATCCCAGAGCCCCTGAGCCCAGCCAGATCTGTCCCAGCCCTGCACCGATCCGGTGCTGAGCCCAGGGACCAGGAGTCACCTTCCTCCGGTGCACCCCACGGCAGCAGCGGCCAAGGCGGAGGAGGTCGATGGTGAGCAGGAGGCAGCGGATGCCGAAGACAATCTCCACCGAGTCGAGCAGGAGGGAGATGGCCCAGAGAGACAGCGTGGAGCTCTGCAGGGACATGGGGCATGAGGTCCCCATCCTTTGCCCGTCACCAGGACAGGCATCCCATGTGAGCCCACAGCCCACTGGGGACTCACATAGACACGGGTGGGATCGAAGGGGCACTCGCGGGAGACCGGGGCAAGGGCGATGTGGGTGACGGTGCACGGGGCCAGCAGCGCCCGGCCCTGGTTGCCCAGCGTCAGCCCGATGGAGACGGCCAGCCCCAGCAGGCAGGACAGGCAGCCCAGGGTGCTGCTGGCGCTCAGGGTGAAAACTGCCCATTTCTGCAGAAGGGGAGAGAAGAGGCAGCGCCGTGAGCCACGGTCCTGCACGACCGCCCGGCCGCGGTCCCTCCCCAGGGATGGTCCCTGAGCGAGGGGACGGGGATGGCTGCAGCCTGCCGGGTGCTGGGGAAGGGGCTGCGGGGCTGGGGGTGCTTACGAGGGTGGTGGGGGCGAGGTAGCGGGACAGCATGAGG